TGTGTGTGTGTGTGTGTTTCAGCCAAAGACCGTTTTGTTCTCCTCGCATTATGTTTGATCTTCATCTCACCTCAGTCTGACATCATTTCGCTGAGGCCGCTGAAGTGAACAAACTCTGGGTCGTCCCCCTCTTTTGTCGTAACGAGGTCGCACATCACGTCGGTTACGATGCGGCTCTGCAGGAGCAGATCACCATCGAGGGAGAACCAAGGATTTGACGCTTGGGAATCTGCCAAATGGGCAATTTAATCAGAGGGCACTTTATGCACAGGAAGTATGTCAGTCTCCTTGTTAGGGAGTGATTTATCTGGACTGGTGTATCGGGCAGTCGCTCCACTCCTCCATTGATTTCAGCCTCAGGCAATAAGACAAATCCTTAACGTCTTTGCTTCGCCTGCATGTTGTCGGTGGTGTTGTAAATGTATTTTGAGCTGGAGCACTTTGACTTCATCTGATTAATGGCTTCTTCAAATTCTAAAAGTTCTCTGCTGAATATTCAAGATTAACTCTGGTTGCGAATAAGACTTCTAAGTCTTTTTAACTGATCTAACGTTCAGCTTCACTCTTCAACTTGCTGGACCTGATTCTGATTTTCTCCATATTCACACTCACTGAAACATCAGACACGTTTTTTAATCAAGCAGCTGCTTTAAGAAGAGAAAGTTTCACAGTGCTGCTTTAATCATAAAGAAACTGTCGTTCTGTGGCAGGTTTTTCAGATTCAGTTCGGTCACATGAGGAACTCAGGAGGTAGAGAGGGTCGATCCCCGGCTCATCCATTCTGTCTTCCTGTAGTGTCCTTGTGCAAGACACTGGACCCCAACTGCCCAGGGGCTGTGGTGACAGAGTGTGAATGGTGTGTGACAGAAAAAGTGCTGCAATGCTGAATGAATGGGTGAAAGTAAAGAGCTTTGAGTGGTTGACTGACAGTACACAATACAAATACAGTCAGTTTACCTTGTAGTTACAGTATGAGTTTACCTCAAAGACACATCCCATGGTCGTCCCCTGTGGACCGAGCACTCGTGTGCGTCCTCAGCTCAGTAACTGTGATTAACTCCGAAAACAGGAATAAATTGAGGAGTGATAAAATTGAATTTTGAGTAAATTCAGTCTCAGCTCATTAACTCTGTCTGAAAGAAAACTCACCACAAGAATCAAATATTAATTCTTATATGAAATCGCAAAATTTAAAATAATAATCTCAGACTCTCATCAAATACTCAAACATAATAAATATCCAAGTATCTATAATTCTGGGTAATACTATTTTATTCTCCCATGTACTTAAAGTAATGTTACGTGTCCTGTGAGTTTTCCTGACATGTGATGGACCAGTTGTGACATAATCAATACTTTTTTGCAGACTCTGTTTTAATATTTTCCAGATAAGCAGAAAGTTAATCCACCAGTGACTTCAGTTTGAAAATAACAGAATCTGCCTCCTGCTTAACTCTTTGTCCCGGTGGAGGAATTGAAAAAAAATTGGGAGAGAGAGAATTTCTCTGCAGCTTTGACTTCGTTCCAACTCCGGCTCCTTAATTCCAGGCTTAACCAAAGAAGTGCGGAGCTTTCTGGGAGAAGGTGAATCTGAGCCTGGAACAATTCCTCTGCTCATCCACCCACCACATCTTCAGCTTCAACAGCCGCGAGATTAACAAAAGTCAGGTTCTGCACGTCTCCTGATTCTAGATTAATCTGTTTTCACATGAGGTCTGGATCTGATGCTGTAGCTGCCGCACATGAAAACATGAACGAAAGATTGAAGGAGCCAAGAAAATTCAGAAAATGAGAAAATATTAATAAACCAACAACTTCCACGACACAAGGCTCCGATTTCCACTTGAAACTCCCTCATCACATGACACAGGTGATTAGATTAGACTCCTGCAAACCAGTTACATGTTACACACGTGTGGAACCGGTGGCGTGCAGCACTTTTGAACCCGTCTCGTGCACGAGCCCTATTCAGGCCGCGCAGCCTTTTGTAATGATTCTGTGGATGAATGACAATCGTTAACTGCCACTGGAGAAATGTAGCCCGGCTACGAGTGCGGAGCTGAATGACTCTGGCCTGAGGCTGGAAGAAAAAGCGTCTTTTTATCAGAAGGTTTCTTTCAAGTTTTCTCTCGTTCATTTTTCACGTGTTTGTTCTTTCCGGTCTGATTATTTTCTTCTGTGTGTTCGGATTGTGTGACTGGCTTTGAAACCACGTTCCAGCTGGTTGCTTTTTTCACTGGAGCAATAATAGAGGGTCATGCTGTACGTATCTGAACTAAAATATACGAAAACACCAATAACAACAAATCTGATAATCAAGTTTGAACATGGTTTTAATGTAACAAGCCGACTTGTTCATAAAGTCACACAAGCTCAGTGTTAAGATTCATGGACGAAGGAAACGAGGAAGAACCCAACCACCAGACAGACGGCCCATAAAGTTTTTACCGTCCAGTCAGACGTCGTAGTTTCAGCTTCAGTTGTGCGTTTGTGTTTCCCAAACTACAACTCGTCCTTCACTCTTTTGTCTCTTTCACTCTGAGTCAGTCATTTTCGCCCCCTGCTGGTCAGAGAGAGAAAACTTGTTTCAGGCATTGGCTTCACTTTCTGGACCAGTGTCAATGTGCGTTGTTTTAAATGACTATAACACAAACAGGAATTGCGTTAGAAGGTGAAGAAATCGTCGATATTATCTGATTTAATCAAGATTATTAAAATATAAGAAACTGAGCTGATGATTAAATTATGTTCCATTTAAATTTCTATAAATTGGACTCGGTGTTTGGTCACAGATGTGAGCGTCTGTGGGGAATCGAGTCTGTGACCTGCCAGTTACAGAGCGTCCACCCAAACCGCGCCCACGCAGGTGCAGCCGATGAAAACACAATGCGAGTGAGACAGGTTTGACGACACTGTCTCTCTGAATGATTGGTCTGCGCCTCCTGTTTGTTTTCCTCTTTTCTTTTTTTTTGCTCTGCACCACCGCTCCTGGCTCGGGCTCAGCTGGAAACCAGGTGGGATCGTGAGATTAGCGAAAACAGGCCTTCAAGTGCGCCAAAGAGGAAAAGCTCCACCTCCACACGAGTGAGAGGAGATTACACAGACCATCGCTTTCATGTGGAATAAAAAAATAACAGCAGTCGCTTCTTTCTTCTTTTTGTCCTCAAGACGTCAGTTGACTCCCCAGCTGCAGGTTTGAATCATTTCTTTCACGTAACTTTTAGGTTTTGTCGTAAAAAAAAGAAAAAAAGCATTCGGAGACAGATGGGATTGTCTTTTATCGCAGAGCCTCTGGGACAAAAGTGCAAAGTGCAAACACCGAGGACATTAAATTGTTCGTGAGTAGATTTTACATTTTTTAAAACTTGATTTTATTCATTTTTATTTACCCGTTTTTATTCTTTTATCTCTTTATTGCGTTCTTTCCCTCTTTTTTCTCCTTCTTTTCTGTGACTTTCTCTCCTCACTCCTTATTCCCTTTTGTATTGCTAAGTAGGTTGTTGCTTCCTCCTTCTCCTCTTTCACCTTATTTCCATTCTTCCCATTTTATTCGTCCCTCTTATGTCATTTTTCTCGATCACACCATATTTAACTCCTTTACCTATCTAATCTCTCTCCCTCTGTTTCCTTCCCTTTTCCATCATTGCATTCTCCTTTATCTCCAAATAATGAAATCTAAAGTTTCAAGTAAAATGGTTTTCACATGTTTATTACAAAGGAATTTGGCCAAATCTCACAACTTGTATCTTCATATTGCACATTTACACAACGCTCCTCTGGTTTATACTTTTACCATTTTCTATTTTAGATTCTGTTTCTATTCATCTTTTTTATTTCTCATTACATTTTCCTCTGACGCTGCTGAGTCAAACTTGAGTTTCCTCTTCGAAGGACCAACAAAGTTACATCTTATCTCATCTTAGAAACAAACTTGGACGTTCTTCTTCTTGAAATTTTACTGGAATACTTTTTCTATGTTGAACGCTTGAGTCTTTCTTTTCTGTTGGAGTCGGATTTCTTCTGCAACAGAAACACTAGGATTGCAGTTGAAGTCTCAAG